TTAGATAATTAAATGATTTACATGTCTTATTTCCTAAATTTGGTAGTCTAATTTTATTATACAAATAGGCCTTATTACGTCATACGATATTTATAACATTTATTTCATTTATTTCATTTTTCTCATTTATTTTATTCACTTCGTTTATGTCATTTATCTATTATATTTATTTTATTTATTTTATCTATTTTCTATATTTTATGTATTTTATCATTATTAGTGAATATTTTTATATAAATAAGAGTAATCCATCGATGTAAAAAGAAAAAGAACCGTCTTGTCTTGAATAATTCTTTTGATAAATAAACTGTTTAGTACAGACGCGCTGACAGAGGCAGTACTAGTCTTTTGTTTGTTAAATAAATTATTTGCACGTATTTCACCCAGTTTATCGTAATTTTCTTTAATTTCTTATCTCGTATCTTTATCTTTACTCTTTTGTGTGAAGGAAACCTTCTGCTAAACTGTGATATCGTAAGTGATTTACCTGCAATCTAAAGAACTGGTGTAACACTTGGTACCTTCTACCAGAAATATTTAAACCCCTACATAGTTAATTTTGATCTATTAATACAAAGACAACAATTTCACAGTCGATTACACACTCTAAGAATAATTAACTTCGCATAATACTCTTTTGATTCTTCTTGTCCCGTTTGATACTCTGAATACTCTATTACAAGTACCCTCAATTCATTAACTTTTGGTATTAGTTCTCTACTGAATTCCTTATATCAACCTTTACTTCGAATACCAAAAAACAGTTAGAACGATTAATAAATAGTACGCAAACTGATTCTATTTTAGGATGAATTGAAATTCTAATTCTTAGCATTAGATACACACAAAACCCAGGTTCTTACATTACCATTCGACAGGATATATACAACACATTAATTTTAACCAACGGTTTTCAGCATGACCCATTTGAAGTTTTATATCAAATAAGCGAAACAGTCTAATCCACCAATACTCAAACAACCTTTTTTTTATCTAATACACCATCTGTTTTAACTCGTTCTAATACACCTGATCTACTGGACGAAGAAGATTTCAACCTCAATTTATTATTTCAAATTCAAGTTAATATAGCCAATCAACAGGACATCCAGAATCTTACCGCAGCAGTTCAAGGATTGACTGGATTGTTCACTTCACAAGGACAACCAGCAGCAAATAACAGAGATTTTCAACTAATCAATAACTTGCAAGCCAATGCTCAAGCAATAAATGGTAATCCTCAACGAAGAGAGACCTGTGTCATTAACTTACCTTACTTTTATGAAGGCAACCAAGATCCTATCAGATGGCTTGAGGAGTTTACACGTGTCTGCAACGCAAATGGCATCAATGACAACAGAAAAATTAAAGTTGTTCCAATATACTTAAAGAACTCAGCTTCTACTTGGTAGACTGCTAACCAAGCATTGAATAATGGAAATGCCAATCGCATTATTGCATGAACAGAAAATAATAATAATACCGACTTTATCCAAAACTTTCCTGCTGCTTTCAGGTCTCAGACATTGATGGAAATCTGGACAACTGAATTGGAAAGGCATCGACAACAACCTGGTGAATCTGTGGATGACTATGCTTGTGTTTATTGAAATTATATCGAAAAGTAGAAACACAAGCCTTCCAATATCCTAATGCAATGAAAGCTAAACGACTTGTCAGTAGATTATTACCTGAATTACATTTGTTAGTAAAACCTTTCAATGACCAAACTTGGAATGATGCACTTAATCGAGCCAAACAATATGAACTCACGTATAAGGATACTAACGCAGTAGAAGCATATATGAATAAATATGCTAACCCATCAGGAAACTTAATGCTTTGAATGCAGCCATTGCCAACTTGTCTCAACAGATACAACAAATGAATATTGGAGAAAAAAAATACAATTTAGGATATCATCAAAATAATTATCAATAGAACAATCAGCAAAATAATAATCAGCAAAATCGACCCTCACAAAATAATCAATCAGGACCTATTTTATGTTTCGATTGTGAACAGCCTGGACATATCAGATGAAATTACCTAATAAGAATAGTAAATGATTTAAACAACCCAAATAATAGTATAGCTGCTAATAATCCACCAGTGCAAAATAATTTAAATCCAGTAAACACAGTTGTAGCTAACTTAGCTAATAATATTCCTACAAATAATAATATCAATCAAAATAATAATACAATGAATGTTCACCAAGCTATGCAATTACTGACTTAGTTGTTGGAACAGGAAAACAACAACGATCAAAATCAGCATTTAAACTAAATGGTGTACCTCTCGAGGGTGAAGGTACGAAACCATTTGAAAGTTTCTCAAATCTTTCTATTTTTAAAATCTATGCCAATAAGAGGAGTCAAGCTAATGATAATGAGAAAGATTTAATTATAGAAATAGAATGAAAACAAAAAGACTTAGCAAAGAAAAGAGCCCAACAAAAACTAAAAGCAAAGAAAAAACCTCCAGTACAACCACCCATTGTTAACATGATAAACCTTTATACCGCACAGGATCTTTTTGATCAACCTGCCAACATCTCTATTGGACAATTACTTGCTGCCAATTCTAAGTTTACTCAAAGCATAATGAGATCATTGAGGAAACCAATTACTCGTAAATCCAATAAAGGGAAAGGACCAGCTACTTAGGAAAATAATAATCAGGAGGAAAATACAACTGCATGACCTTCAGGAGCTAAACCTATAGACATGGAAGATGAAGAAGTAATTGAAGAAAATGATGAATTGCTTGCATCTCAGGAAATGCACAATATTACAAATCGAAAGTCAACTGCTTTATATTGCCAAGCAACAATTAATAATAAGAAGTTTGCTTTGATAGTTGACTCTAGTTCTTCAGGATGTATTATCTCTTTACAATTCCTAAGAAAATTGGGAAGAGAAGTTGACAAAGCTTCTGAAACAGTAATGGTAAATGTTAACGGTGAACGTTAAAAGCCAGTTGGTATAGCACTTGACTTACCTCTATGAATAATGGGACAGATTATTCCCTTTGATGCTATTGTAATTGAATCAAATACTTATGATGCAATAGTTAGAAACAGCGTAAAAAATCTATTCTAATTTACTCAGTTTTTCCAGTTAATATCTAATAAAACTGGTAAATTTTTTTAATCCCAGAAATTTTTCAGTTATGGCGCAGCAGATTTTCAGAATATTTTACAAATGCCGGAAATTTTTTTTAATAAAATTTGTAATTTAATATACTTATAAAAAACGAAAATTTACTATCGTTATTATTATACTAACATCTTTATTATCAATAATTTCAATAATTTGATTACTACAATATGATCATTTAATGCCTGTACGTCTTTTTTGATTACTCCAAATTGTATACGCGCATGTATAATTAAAATTCTTGCTTTCCGGACCTTCCAAAGAAATGCGTATTAGCATATCTAAGATGTTTATAGTTAATAAATTTTTATCCTTTATTTTAATTTTATTTTGTCTGCTAAAACCACACTCACATTTCACACTTGAAAAGGGAATACAATAAACTATTTGAATTAATTTAATGATATTTGGAAATATATCATTATAATCTTGAATTAATAAAGGAAGTAATATCTCAATATTATTAGAAGAAAAATTATTGATAGTTATCATCTTGAACTCTGCCCACTCTTTCCTACATTTTTTAATATCAAAAAGTGTGGAAAATTGAATATTATTGTGAAAATTTGGTTGCTCAAAATACTTTAATAAAATTTCTAGATCATTATCTCCAAACAATAATAATTTTTGAGAATCATTTGGCCATTCACGAGGATTTAATATTTTCATAGAAGCAAATAATTGCCGGTTAGGAAATCTATACTGAAGTTCATTAATAACATTTGTTGAATAATCATGCGCATCCATTATAAATTCATCATAATCTTGTTCAATAAAAGAAAGATTATTGTTCAAATATGTTATTAAAGAATTTTTAAATGGATTAGTTTTGTCTATAAACATTTAAACATTTTGTCCAAATCTTTGATTTTGATCCATTAGAATATACTCCTTTTGAATAGAATTAATTGTAGCTTGTATCATAGGATCTATATCAGAAAATTTTAAATTTCTTTTTTATAAAAATTTACTCAATTGTGTTACATGTTCTAAGATATCGTAAAAGTAAAATAAAAATACCAGCATTTTTCAAGATGTTAGTTGCTTATATAATTCTTGCCTATTATTATTTGTTGATTCTTTGAAAAGTTTAAGTAATACCAGAATTGAATTGCAGATATTTTTAATAGCTTCATACTATGCAAGCTATCGGATCTCATATAATTTCTTTATTTTTAAAGTTGGATCATCTAAAATATTTTGGATTTCCTTTAATTGTTAAATGTGTGAATATGAATTTTTAAAATAATTATAGATCCTTTTAACTAAAGATTCAACTTCTCCATAAAATTTAACTTCCTTTTTTGCATCTTTACATGCTAAAGCTAATCTATGAGCAACGCAATGATTGATAATTAAAGGATAAGTGCATATTCTAGAAAGCTTTGCGGTTACACCCTCATTTTTTCTAGTATAACAGAAGCACCATCAGAAGCAAATGCTACAAGCTTAGATAAATAAAATCTTTTTTCTTTTAAAAATATCAACCAAAACCTTAGTAATATCCTCTGCATCACAACTAGTTAAAGGTATAATACATAAAAAACGTGTTTTTAAGATTTCCTCTTTAGTTATATATGAAACATATATATCTAGATTTTTTGTAGTAGTAATGTCTGTACTTTCGTCAATCATTACACCAAATATTGCAACATCAAATAATTAATTCCAAATTTCTTCTTTAATAGTATTTGATATTGCTTCCAAAAATTCATGTCCTGAAATATTATTTGTATATGTAATCGTACCACTAAAAAGATCTAGTGAACCTGACTCTTTCAATAATTCAATAACAGATGATAAAAGTCTAAGAGGCAAATTTTTTTTCGCTAAAAAATAAACAGCCCGCATTATATCAACAATATGATTCATATTTGCATTAGAAGAAGTGAATTCTTTTTGTAATGATTCCATTTGTATTCTTGAACTTTCTAATTTCTCTGCATCATTATAATCTTCAGTATTTATATGCTCTCTAATTGCCGATTTTCTTGAAATATTTGTTGTCCTCTCCGTAGCAAATTTATTTTTTTTCTTATATCGTATACATAATGTATAATACATTCTTTTGTTAATTTCATCATAGCGTAACCAAAAAATTCATTCAGCCATTTGGGTTTGAATATTTTATTATTACGTTTATAAGATTTTTTGGCATCTTTGCTAGGATTATTTTCATTATCAGAAGCTTGATCATTTTGAAGTGAATCACTTCTAACTCTTTTAAGTTCGAAGCCGTATTGTAATAATGACATTATAAAATGCAATAAAATTTGAAAAAAAGATTATCATATTTTATATAATCATTTATTGGTGATACAAAAAAACCAGAAATATTTTTTAATTTCGGTCACAAGTTCCGGTTAAAAAAATAATTATCGGAATTTTTATCTTTTATCAGATTTTTTCTAAAATTTTTCAAGGTTTTTTTTTCATGCTGATTGGATGACTAGTTGAAAAAGACTCATGTTAAAATAAGCTACGGAAGTAAACTTATGACAATTCACTAGAAAGGAAAAGAAATACATGTTCCAGTTAAACATAGGACTTTATCACGACAAAATATTGAGAAGACAAGGGAAGATAATGAGGAGTCTGAAGTGAATGAAACTGATGAAGAATATGAAACAGATGAAGAGGAATAGGATGAATTATTTTGTTACTCTGAAGAAATTCCAGAAGAAGAAGTCAGCTTAATTTATGTTGAGCTAAAAGGAAATACAAAGGAAAAAGCAATATCAAAAGAATCCTATTACTAATATAAGGAACTTGACGAAGAAAATTATCATACTGGTGAACTTACAAATGAGCAACAGGAAAAATTCAAAGACTTTATGAAACAATACAAGGATCTTTTCATTTGAAAGGAAAATCAGTTTGGAAAAACCTCTGTAATAAAACATAATATTGATACAGGCGATGCTTCTCCAATTAAGCAAAGGTTCTATAGGACTTCATTTCAAAACTAAGAGTTTATTAAACAGGAAATTCAAAGGCTATTAAACTCAGAACTAATCTAACCATCAAAAAGTCAATGGACATCTCCAGTAGTTGTTGTGGAAAAGAAAAATGGTAAAAAACGTTTATGTATAGATTACAGAAAGCTGAATAGTGTGACAAAAAAGGATAACTATCCTCTTTCAAGAATCGATGACATGCTGGATACATTAATAGGTTTCCAGTGGTTCACATCTTTGGACTTATCAAATGGATTCTGACAAGTAGAAATGAAAGAAAAGAATCGGGAGAAAACAACCTTTATCACAAGGTTTGGAACCTTTGAGTTTACAATTATGCCCTTTGGCTTATGTAACACTTCTACAACTTTTCAAAGATTAATGAATACAGTTTTAAGAGATATCCTTTAGCAAAATGTAGTAGTGTACGTGAACGATATCAATATTGGATCCAAAATATTTGATGAACACCTTCTTCACTTGAAACAAGTTTTTCTACGTCTTCGACAATCTAGATTAAAACTAAGTCCAGAAAAATGCTTTTTCTTTGAGAAGAAACTTCCTGTTCTAGGATATGTAATTGGACGTGAAGGCATACAAACTGATTCTGAAAAAGTTGCTGCACTCAAAGATTCCCTATTCTAAAGGACTTGACCCAGTTGAGAGGATTTATTGCACTTGCCTTATATTACAGGAAATTTATAAAAGGATTCTCTACTATCATTGAACCTTTGAATAGACTTCTCAAGAAAAATGTTTCTTATCGCTGGACGATTGATCAATAAAAGGCATTTAAAAGCTTAAAGGATTGCTTAACCTCCCTCTAATCTTGGCATACCCTGATCTTGACAAACCATATATTTTATATACTGACGTTTCTACTTATGCTCTTAGAGCTATTCTATCTCAAAAAGGAGATGACAAAAAGGAATGAGTAATAGCTTATGCTAGCAGAACTCTTAACAAACATAAACAAAACTATTCAATTACTGAATTAGAATGTCTCGCTGTAATTTGGTCTATCAAATACTTTCATTATTACTTACATGGACGAAAATTTGTTGTTGTAACTGATCACGCTACTTTAGTGTATCTCAAAAATATGAAAAACCCAGTTGGCAAACTTGGACGTTGGCTTATGACTTTAAATGGATATAACATGGAAATACTTAATCACCCAGAAAAATCACATACAAATGTAGATACATTAAGTCGAATACAACACTAAGGACTTATTTATTTTTACAACTAACAGGACAAAAACTTAACGGACACCTCTTTTGATAACGGCTTTTGATTTTAATGGAAATAATGGACTCGAATACATATTTTGGTTTAATTCAATATTTAACAGAACTTTTTATGTCAACACATTTTGACAATAAGCAACAAGCAGCGATGAAATGTAAAGCACAATATTTTATTGTAATTAATGGTCAATTATACAAGCGAAATAAACAGGAGCTACAACGACCTCTCAAAGTAGTTCGCAAACATGAAGTTAATGACATCCTGTATAATTTACATGAAGACCCTTTAGCAGGACACTTTGCCCTTGAAGAAACTTATAGGAGAGTGAAAATTAGATATTACTGATCCCAAATTTATGAGAACATACGACAATATGTTCAAATATATGATGCCTGTCAGCGACGAGGTAAAAATAAGTGAACGGAACCTCTACATCCCATTAAAGTTAGACAACCCTTTGATTATGCGGAGGTTGTGTAGGTTGAGAGAGACTAGAGGAAACCCAAGCAACAGTAAAATCGTCTTTGATATTATTTGAAGTTTTTCAAGTTTGCAGTGATGTGCATCATGTCAATCATATGTTATGTACTGAAGAGAAAATATCATCAAATAAGGATGATAATAAACCTTGAGTGAGTTGTTTGTTGTTGGTAACGGTAGTGATTGAGAATAAAAATGATGAGGGGATGATTCCTTTTATGAGATCCATAAATATAAGTTGTTATTGAAAGAGTTGCAATACCATATAGATGATTGATCAATAGTATCAATTAGAGTATCATTGTTAGGCCTATTTAACTCTTTAAGGTGAGACAAGAAAGATTGTTTATGCTTTTGTATCAAGTCAGTAAGAGAAGTTGTATTTTGGAGACAAGACCAAATGTGATCAAAGTCTTCAGTTGCAATATTACATCAGAAGCAGATATTAGTAGTATAAATTTGGGGATATCGTGCATTCATTATTGTAAAAGTAGGGAGTAATTGTAATAAAAATTTGATTTTGAATTGCTTCCATTTGCACGCATTAAATAATGTCACCCTAGCATTTTCTGAATCATTAAGAACGTAAAAGAGAGTTTGCCAATCGATGTGAAAATTGTGATATTTTTTAAATTGGAGGAGGGATAAAAGTATTTCAACCCAAGATGCTTGTTGCATATGTTTGATAAATAAACGTGGTGGTATAATGATTGGTATGTTATTATAGTTCATAAAGTATTTGAGACCGAGGTAGTTGCTATTAATACTCAAAGGAGCACCAGAGAGTTGTTTAGCTAAAGCATCTACTTTATTGTTGAGTTTATCTGATTCATAAGCTTTGACTTTTGTCAGTGACAACACAATATTGTTGGATGTGATGAGTTGTATCAAGATCATTCAAATATGGAAATAAGGAATTTTGAAGGTAGGGTTTAGAGAGGGAGATTTCTCACATATGGTAATGATTTTATGATATGAGGCAATTACAGCTTGTGAATCTGTGCAGATTTCAATGTTGGAGTTCGGTGGAGCGGTGTATGTTGCAGCAAGAATAACAACTATTTCTGCTAATGTTGAAGAAGGAGAGTGTGAAATAAATGTTGCATAAAGGAAATCAAAGGCCAATTTTGATCAGTTTGTAACCACGCTATTCCTATCTGGCATTCAGGAGATCCTAAGGATGTAAGAGAACCATCTGTATAAAATTGAAGGAAATAAGCATTAGTAAGTTGGAATTTGAGACAATCTAATCTATTAATGGATGTTTGATCGAATGGAAGTATATCTAAGTTAGGTAGAGGTTTGGTTAGGTATTGATAAGGAGAAGTCAATGTTGATAAGGAAACTTCGTGAAGCATAAGGTGAGACAAACTGCACCACCATCCCTCACAGGGTTTGTGAAAAACTTGATATGCAAAAATGATTTTTTTTTTTTTTTTTAAGTGCGGCAGTCTCGCATGATCTTTATTAAATTTATGAGATTACAAGAAAAACAAAATAAAACAGAAAATACAAAAATATCTATAAACTAATCTAGAGGACTAAACTACTTTATCAATACCAACCTTGCACTTTTACTGAACTAAACTATATAATAGAAAAGAAAAGGAACTAATCTAAACTAGTGTACAGATATCGAATGTCCGAAAAGAAGGGTGTGGTTACTGCTGTACCAAAAATTTGACCAGTGAGAACCAAAAGTAAGGGCTGCAGAAAAGGAGGAGAGGTTATTATGCGGAGTTTGAGTGGATTGTGAAAGTCTAAAGGAAGCCCAAGCAACAGTGAAATCATCTTTGATGTTGTTTAAAGTTTTCCAATTTTGTAGTGACGTACATAATGTCAACCATATGTTGTGAGCTGAGGAGAAAATATCATTGAATAAGAATGATAGTAAACCCTGGGTGATTTGTTTGTTATTGGTAACAGAAGTGATTGAGGAGGAAAATGATGAAGGAATGATTCCTTTTATGAGATCCATAAAATATAAGTTGTTATTGAAAGAATTGCAGTATCATATTAAAGATTGATCGATAGCATCAATTAGAGTATTGTTGTTGGGTTTATTGAGCTTTTTGAGATGAAACAAAAAGGACTGTTTGTGTTTTTGTATCAAGTCAGTAAGGGATGTTGTATTTTGAGAACAAGATCAAATGTGATCAAAATCTTCAGTTGCAATATTGCACTGAAAGCAGGTATTGATGGTGTAGATTCGGAGATATCGTGTATTTATTATTGTAAGAGTAGGGAGAAATTGTAATAACAATTTGATTTTGAATTGCTTTCGTTTGCATGCATCGAATGATATCACCCTAGCATTTTCTGAGTCATTCAGGACGTAAAAGAGAGTTTGCCAATCAATATGAAAGTTGTGATATTTTGCAAATTGAGAAAGGGACAAAAGTATTCCAGCCCAAAATGCTTGTTACATGTGTTTGATAAATAACCTTGGTGGTGTGATGATCAGAATGTCATTATAATTCATGTAGTATTTGGGACCAAAGTGATTGTTGTTGATACTCAAAGAAGCACTAGAGAGTTGTTTGGCTAAAGCATCTACTTTATTGTTA